AAGATATGTAATATAACCTTATATGAAGAAAAAGGGCAACTAACGATTACCACTATTATTACCGAATGCCACTCACCATTTTTCCGCATATAAAAAGAAATATGTCACCTCCAAATATCTCTCTCTCCCCATATTTTTCTTCTCCTTGTACTACTATTCTCCTCTATATCCATCAATTCCAATCTATCTTTTTAAAATAGACGGAATTGTTTGCGAGCAGTACCAAAAATTTGGTTCTTCTCAACCTTTAAGACATTAAATCTCACAGTCTTCGATAATGGACGGCACTGTCCCATTGTAATAATATCTCCTTCCTTTACGTCAAAACATGGTGAGCAGTGAACCGACACATTCTTGTGTCTCTTCTCAAATCTATTGTATTTAGCAACATATTTAAGATAATTTCTTCTAACAACAATAGTTCTCTTCATCTTTGTTGATATACACATACCCTTTAATATACGTCCTCTAATGCTAACATTTCCTGTGAATGGACATTTCTTATCAATGTAAATACCATTCTTTGCCTCATTTGGTACAGTAAAACCTAATCCTGGATCTCTAAAGTATCTTGGAATCTTTGAAGCTCCCTTCTTTGATAATAATCTCTTATCACCTAAAAATACAGTTTCTTGCTTTTGAAAAGCTCTTTCAGTTTGAGCATCTATTGCTGTTGCTTGATGAACCTTGGACGACATCTCTAGTTAGTAGTATTGAGATTTTTTCCTCTTTTTAAAAGTGTTTTTAGAAAATTAAAAAAAATATCAACAAGAATAATTTGTCTTGTCGAGGTTAAAGATGATTTTAATATTTTAATATTAATTACTACAACTTAAGTTAATATTTTGCTAATTGCTTTAAAAATTGTCAGAGCCCGCTAATTGCTTGTTTAATGTATATAATCGAATATATTTTAAATATTAATATGTAATGTTAATATTGAATTTTTATAGAGACGGCTCAGACTAATTAAAGTTTAATAAAATAACTGATTTATTATATTTAATTAAATTAATAAATTAAATATATTTGAATCATTTTCCTGTCTCAATTTACATTAATTTCTACTAAATATTTATAAATATTATATATGACGAATTATTTAATGTTTAGTATTAATAAACAATGACATTAGGCGGCAAGTCAGCTTTTACAATAAATAATTTTTTTTCCACTTAAAATAATAACAGGGTGAAGAGAAAAATGTGCATGGCTTTAAAGATTAAGTTATTTTAAAAACTTAGTGAATTCTAAATAATTAAATATAAAAATTTTACATTTAAAATATTTTCTCGCGTAAATAATATAATAGTAAAAACAATATTCATAATTAGATTAATATTAGGTTATTAAAAGATTTAATAATTTATTCACAAACATTAATTTTTTTTCAGTTATTTAATTAATGAATTATTATTTATGTGCTTTATTGTACATACATAAAATAAGCATTGGTAATGAAAGAACCAAATTATCATATTCCCCACTGAAAAGTTCCAATAAAGTGATTAAAATAGATATTTGAAGTCTTAATAAGTAGTTAGTGCCTAAAGCAAAAGTTGCTAGTAATGATGTTGCAAATATTGCAGTTGTTCCAGAAATCTGTGTAATTGGAATGAATTATTATCGCATTATTTTAAAATAAATTTCGATTTAAAAAGAAAAGTGATTTAGTAAAGAAAGATAAATAAATGAAATCAAACCTACTGTTTTTGATTTATATAACTTTGGGTTTGGAATCATATTCCCAACTATTGCTCCAATAGGATCAGCATATATTGTTGGCGCAAAATAGCTGAAATCTAAATCCAAAATTGACCAAGTACAAACAAGTATACCAAAGAATAGTATACCTTTATCTTTTGGTCTGGCAAACTTTAATTTCAATAAACTTGGAAATATCCAAACAATAACAACCATTAAAACAGCGATTGCAACTTTTAACATACGGTACTGATATGTATTTGGTGTTAATATTGCATATGTGCCTGCAAAGATATGAACAAGTTTCCTATCAAATGAATTAAAATAAGTTGTATGAAGTGTTATAGTGTGATTCATAAGATTCTTTTTTCTCTTAATAACCATTAAAAAAAAGAATAAGAAGAAAATATACGTTGGATAATAAATGTATTGGTATAGAAAATAGTAAAAATTCAATAATCAATATTTGAAATGAACTTGTGAATTAAAAAAAGTGTATTCTTTTAATACAAAAAAATGAATATTAATGATGTTATTTTTTAAATAATTAAAGCCAACAATAGATTTCTTTTTTTATTTTACCACTTTTTTCAATGAAAACAATTATTTTTTTGTAATATGTGAAAAATATATAATGCTATTTTATTTGAATCAATTTCTATTCATTCAATCTCGCCTTACTGTTGAATTAAATCCTATACCTTAAACATTATTATCAATATCTTACGTATTTTCTCCATAATACAGTAATTTACCTTGTATGCATGATAGAAAAATAATTCGTATATTGTAGAAACAATATTACGATGACAAAGAAAAGTGCAAGTAAATAAAATTCCGAGTCCATTCTTCTTTTTTTGAATGTTACATGTATCTATCTCTATATATTAGATATATAATAGTTAAAAATTATCTAATTAATTAGTATCAATATTTGACTTGTTTCCCCTCCCCCCCCCGATTAGTAATTTGATTTTTTGGCAATACATTTAAGTAGATAAATTAATAAAGTTGGCGCTCAAAATATTTAAAATAAATAATAAAATTCTATTTACGTGCAAATATGAAGTCAAATATTACATTAAAAATTCAATTCATTATAATAAATTCTAAAATTTTTCTTGTTTAAAAATACTAATCATTAATATTATAAGAATACAGACACAAAGATACATTAACAGCTGTATTGAATAGTTTCTATTCAAGTACAGAGTATTTCAATTAATTAGGAGCTTTAAAATAAAATTGGAATTATTGATTATTGTTTTTAATTAGTTAATAAAGAAAGAAGAATTTTTACTTTGGGTATAAAAAAACATTATAAATATGACAGAAAATATAAATAAAACTCAAGTGTTGTGGCTGATTAGGAATTATTTATGTGGATTAGAAGCTAATAAAGCAGTAAAATATATTGAAAAGCATTTTCCAGAAATTAATGAGTTAGACAAAAAAGATATCAGAAAGCTCAAAAAGTTACCTGATTTACATGAAATTTTAAAACAATTTTATATATTTAATAAAGAAAAAACAAATTTAAAAAAAAGTGATTTAGATGATTATTCTCAGTCAAATAAATCTATTGAGAAAATTGCAATTAAATCGCAAGCTAAAGATAATTCTAATATAACCGATAAAAATGTTACTCAAATTAATACAAATAAAAAAAGTAAAAAAAGAAAATCAACCGAAATTTTAGAAGAAAGTAATGAAGTTGATGAAACTAATTCCAATGTTAATAATCAAATAGAGAATGAGGAGAATTTAATATCTTCTACTAATCAAAATTCTTCAAACTGTGCATCTATTCAGAATAGATTTAAGAGAATTGATGAAAATAAATATAAAGAAAGGCTTTCAGATGAAAGGTTGAATGATAACTCATACTGGAATATGAAGAAATATAGCAATAATTCAGATGATTTTGCTTCAAAAGCTGCATTTGAGCTCGGCCAGGTTAGAGGGAAAGGATTTAGACAAGAAAAAGCTAAGAAAAAAAGATGTTCGTGGAAAGGTAATGGAACTATTTCCACTGGTGTTAGCTCAATTCAATTTAGTGATTCTGAATAATTAAATTAAGTTATTTTATACTTGAACAATTATTTTACATCATTCTCTTCCATTATATTATCATTTTTCAATGTATTTTTAAGCGGGCAAAATCGAAATTAAATTAATTTTTGGCGGTATTGTTTTTATTTATTGTTAATAGGTTTTTTCTTTTCTTTTTTCGCGATCTTTTTTTTCTCAATTGCATTGAAATTTAAAATAACTGTATATTATATACAAAGAAAGAATAAAGAACAGGGGAAAAAATTAAAGAAAAATAGTTTTTGAGCCCAATCCATGTGGTTTAGATTTCTTTCTATTCTTTACATATAATCGATTATTTTATTTTCATTGAAAGAAATTCCCACAACTGTTTAAAAAAAGAAATATAGTATTCGGCGGAATAAAAAAATAGTATAAAATAAAGAAGAAAAAAATTTAAAGGGTATTATATTAGTTTTTGATCATATTTTTACAATTGTTTATTCATAATTAAAGTATTTAAGGAAATCTGGTAATGTGATCAGCTAAAATGAATAAGATGGAAATGACAGATCAAAGAACCTCATTTTATTCTTCAAATAATGGAAGCAGAAATAGATATCTTAAATTTGATGATGAAAGATTTGGTAATAGAAATATGTCTGGAAATAGTATTAATAATAGTTCAGCTCAGGTAAGTGATAATAAAATGTTTAATTTTGGTGAATTATCACATTTTGAATATTTATAGTCTATTTTAGAAGAACAGAATGATCAGTATATGATTGACTTAGAAGCAAAAGTTCAAGATTTAAAGTATATTAGCAATGCAATGAGGCAACAAGTAAAAGAAAGTAATGATTTACTTTCAAGTTTATCTGATGAAATGGGCTCATTTGGAGTTCTACTAAAAGGTACAATTAATAAAATCAAAACAATTGGAGGAACGAGCAGTTGGAAGCACATTTGGATTATGTCATTTTTCATATTTCTTGTTTTCTTATTAATGTATATTTTGTTTAAAAGAAGCTAAAATTACTTACATTTTTTTATCGTCATCTACCAATTATATAAATTATAGTAGTTTACATTTAAGTTAAATAGTATTAATTCGCATTAGAAATTTTACTCTAATTCATTATATAATAATTTACTTACTGAAGAAAATATACTATTAAACAAATGACAGTGATTGTTGTATATATTTTGCAAGGAAAGAAAACCAATTGTTCTTTCAAACTAAAAAGGAGCTCCCGCTCCGAGAGGGGGTGATCCGGGATTCGAACCCGGGACCTCTCGCACCCTAAGCGAGAATCATACCCCTAGACTAATCACCCAGCTTTGCTTCCAACGGCTGTTAAATAAGCAACATAATAAAAGTGAGGAAAAATACTTTTCTCATAATTGACAAATATTTACAACTTTTCATGACAATCTTTAAATAATCAATATAAGAACGTATGATAAATAGATGTTAAATAATTAATTTGTTTAAAAAAAATTTATACATAAATTTTTAATGTTAAACAATTCTTTCTTTAAAAAAAGAATGGCTCAAAACAATAAAAATGGAAATCAAAAAATTGAAAAAAAAAAATCAATAAAATTTCAAGATAATATAATATTTATATATATTTAAAATTTGACGTAAATTAATGGCATACAACTTGAAGATAGCTATTTAAATAATCAATTAATAATAATTTTTTTTCTTTTTAATATTTTATCTATTAATAGTCAGCATTTCAAATAAGAACTTCTATTACGTTTCTCCCCACTTTTTTTCACCCATTTAACTTCCACTTTCTACCCCTAAAAAATTTTATAGTGAACACTATAAACCCAAATTAAATTACCACGCAGTTGTAGTGGGTGATTAGTCTAGGGGTATGATTCTCGCTTTGGGTGCGAGAGGTCCCGGGTTCAAATCCCGGATCACCCCTCTTTTTTAATTACTTCCTAGATCTTTTTTATACCAAAGACCCGAACAAAACTTCCGAAGCAAACAGTAGGAAACAATAAAATTTGAACGAAATTTTATTTTGATCAATAGTAAAGGCAAATAAAATAAATAATAATTTTAGTTTTAAGTATATAATATATGTAATAAGTTATATAATTAGTAATCTATTTGTACTTATTATTCGAATTTAATTTTAAATCAAAATATTAGAATTAAATGTTTAAATATAATATATATAAATTCTTCTATTAAATATTAAAATTGAAAAAGTGGGCTAGCTTCACATGTCACAAGGTAAATATTCTGGTATTGATAAAAGTTGTTTAATACCTGATTTATAATTGGAAAGTTCATAAGATAAAATCTTCTGAGTCTTTTGCAGATATTTAAGCTGCACAGGATTCAGATTTTTAATATACATATTGTTTTCTTGAGAATTTTTGAGCATGTTTACATCATCTCTGCTAATTTTTTCAATGTTTATACCTTGATTAGTTCTATAATCACTTATACCAGTATTCAATACTTGTTTATTATTGCAGCTGAATTCTTCCAAATTCGCTGCATTAAAATTTGAAGCATTCCTAGGATTTTCCAAATTACTAGAATCTCTCTCAATCAACATTCCTGACCCTGATCCCGATATCACTTCTGTTCCTGATACTGATTCAACTCCTACTCCAACTTGTCCAATTTCTGATAAGTTTATTCCACCAAGCTTTGAAAGTTTTCTGTAGTGATTATACCTGCTATAGTTATCATCATAGCTGTTATTATTAATTTTACTCAAAGAATTTTCATTGTAGTTATCCTCTGAATTAATATAAATGCGACGGATTTTACGTCCTCTTAATGGGCTCATCTTCTAATATTAATTACTTTATACAGTTATTTTTCAAACTTATTTAATACTTCAGAATCCAATACAAAAGCAAATTAACAGTAACAATGAATATATACTTTATATATTCATATGTTATCGACGTTTTATTATCACCAATATTACAACAATCTTCTTGAATGATGCGAATTTGGTTTTAGCTTCATATATAATTTATTAATTTACACTCAGAATAATTGCTCTTACAACATATATACTAATATATAAATTTATTTATTTATTTTTATTTACTGATAATTACATGAACCTAACCCCTTAAATAACAATATTATTAATATTTATTATTGCTCTACTTGACTTTAATTTTAATATAAATATCATTGATATCTTTGGTTGTTTTACCAAATAAATTATACTAAACTAGTTTAGTATAAAACATATAACTCCAATACTTATTTCTTAATTAATTTCTCCTCTAAATTTAATTTTATTCTTCCACCCACTGTAAATTAATAATAATAATATTAATATTACTAATTATAATTTATTTATAATAAAAATAATTACTTTCAATTTACCTGTTCCCCAATTAAAAAAAATATACCAAAAGTCCCGCCTTGATTGAGCGGGCTACTTCCTATCCTCTTGATTATTTTTTTTTATAAACATTTGTGAGAAAAAAAAGAATATTTTTTTAATATTTCAATAATGCAAATTTTGAATAAGCAATTTTTAATTTAGTTAAAATTTACTATTATTTCCAATAATATTAATTCAATAATAAATAAATTTTTGAATAGAAAAAGTTATATAAATATTAATACTTTGCAAATTTAGAATTCCAGAGAAAATTAGTATTTTTATCACTATTTCAAATCATACTTTATTAGCTATTAAATAGTAATATTTAAGTAAGGATTCAGGATTTATATTAAAAAAAAGAAATTCTTATTTAATTAAGTTGTATTATATTATAAAGCATTTAAAAAGTATGAAAAAGGGGGGTGGATCAAACATGTCAGAATCTGATCACATAGTTGATCAATTTAAACAAGATAAAATAATTACTTTTGAAGATAAGCATATTTTTGAATATAAAGATAATGAAGATGATTGTGATCAGCTTAATGCAAAAATTTATCTTAACAAAACAAATTTGGGGTCAGAAAATAATGGGAAAAATGAAGATTTCAGAGAAAATAAGAGCCAAGATAAATTTAAATATAAAAGAACAAAGATTAAAGTTATTAAAAAAAATTTAAGGAAGGAAATAAATTTTGAACTTGCTAATGATGAAGATAAGAACAACAATAATAGTACTGATAATCATGATACTGATAATAATACCGAATTAACAAACTTTAATACAAATTTATTAACGAATAGTAATAGTATTTTTGATGATACTGATATATTTTACAATAGATTAAAGATTCAAAAGAAAAGGAAAACTTTGGAGAATACAAAGAACGAATTTGAACCTGAGCATAACAACATATTTAATTTAACTAATGAAAACATTAACAGTAGTGAACCTAGTATATACTTATCTTTGGAAACAGAATTTTGTAGAAAGATTGATGATGGCAGCCTTAGTGATCGAATTAATGATTCAATTAGCAATAGTGCTATTACTAAGGCAGAAATGGAAACCTCATATAGTAATCCATTAAACAAAGATAATTTAAATGAATTGCAGAATACTGCTCTAAAACAAGAACATTCAGAAGCAACTAGAGTATTAAATGAAAAAACGCAAAATAACTTTAATAACAACATTCTTTATGAAGAACCTCTTGATTTTGGGATTTCATCCACTTTAGAACTGCTTAAAAAAAGAGGCGATATATCATCTTCAAACAGAAGAGATCCAATTACTTCTAGTAACAACGAATTCGGTCAAAAAAATGAAAACCATTCAACAGATTCCGCCTTAAACTCAGAATTCGATTTTCAAGTCTCTATTCTTCACACCGACGATAATGGTAATATTCTAAATCCTAAGGAAGCATTCAAAAGGCTATGCTGGAAATTTCATGGACAAAAAGTTAACAAAAATAAAGTTGAAAAGATGCTCAGAAATCATCTACGAAATAAATCCTAACATATTCCACATGCAATTTTTTTTAAATTAATTGTTACGTGGATTTCCCGCTCTTTTTTTTTTTAAATTTTTATTATGGTGAGACATAATAAAAGTTTGATTATGACATTATGGATAAAGTCTCTGAATTGCAGACAACCAAAAAAATACAGGTAAAATTAAATCATTTACTTTGTGTAATTGAGTTCTTTTTGTTTCTTTTTTTTATTTAAGTCTATATTGAAAGATGATATTTCTACTTATGAATTGAAGACAGAAACAAATCAAGCTGGATATTTTTAAAGTTAATCAATCTTAGTGGTAAGTTTAATCTATTTAATTAATAAATTGTTATGGAGGCTGGTTCAACTGATGATGATATTGGGATTATTTCATTACTATGGTAATTACTTATTTCTTTAGAGAAAATTCATTTTTGTAATGATGGATAACCCTATAGCAGACGGGCGATCAGAATAAAACCTCATCATTTTAAATATGATTGAGAATTTGTTGAGATTTGCTATCCTGAACTTGATTTTCTTTTATAGAATTATTAATTTACAAATTGTTCAGAATATTTATTAAAAACATAAATTTGACCAAATTCTATGCAATTCAGTATTCATGATAATTATTTTATGGAAATTATAGCTATGATGATAACTCTTAATCATTATTATCCTCTTTAATCGAGAGGAAATGATTATTATTATCTTTCGCTCCTATCTGAGTCTATTATATTCATTTTAATAATTATCATTGTTTTTTCTATGGTTAATATTATCTATAATGCTCAAGTATCACTTATATTCATGATGACTTTTTTTATTAAACTAGAGTCTATTATAGTCACTGGCTTTAATATTAAAGTTAATACTAACTGATTACAGTGTTTCTCTTGGCTGTCTGAGATATATTTGATACTTGATATATTAAATATATATATATATATGTATTATCTTTTAATCCAATATCATTTCAATTCATCATCATCTTCTCTAGAAAACTACTGGTACTCCATGCCTTTTATTCAATTAAATTCAAGACTAATGATTTTAATAACTTTAACTATTAGATTCATTTTTTTATAAATCATATACAAAAACGTTTTGAAGAGTTTTATAACGTTAATATTAATGCTAAAAAAAATTCAACTGTTTATTATTTAACGTGGCCTAATCTATTTCAAGTATATTATAATTAGAGCTTCTTAAAGTACATATATAATAATTATCTCTTCTTATTATGTTGTTTGCTCTTGCGTTTCATCTTCTTATTGATATGTTTAATGGCTCTCTTATCTTTCTTTAGTCTTTTATCAACGAATTTTGTCTTGAAGTTCGTAGTATTAAGACCCTTATCTTTGTTCTTTATTTGTTTACTCAATCCGTGCCTTCTTGTTACAGTATATACATTAACTCTTTTCTTGCTAGAAATCTTTTGAGCT